CACGCCAAGTAGCATATATATATAGTGTATCGGAATTCCAATAATAAGATGAATAGATGATGAATATAACTGTTTTACTAATGGATAAATGCATTTGAACAAGATAAATAGAGAAAATTGACCGCAGCGAATTTAAATGGCATGAAATTTTCTATAATGAGACTACCGTATAATAAACGCTAATTACCGTAAAATGGGGTAAAGTCGGCGTTTGGGGGTAAAGTCGGTCGGCGCTTTGAATCATTTTAAAGTTTAACTATTACTTTTTTCCAGAAGAAATCCGAGTTTTATTAAAAATGTAGTTAGAATTAATGTAAATTAATAAATGAAATACAATATTTAAGTGTTTAAAGCGCCGGCCGACTTTACCCCATTTTACGGTACATTTCAAAGAAGTGTTGATTTTACGTTATACAGATGATTTCTGTCTTAAAAAATTAAAAATAGAAAAAGAAAAAGAAAAAAAAATTTCAAGTTAATATCTATATCATAAACAAAATTTTGCTATTGTCAATTTAGTATGAAAAGTTAATTAATTAAGGTTTAATATATCCCATGCAGAAATTATGGTCTGGGCCTTTCAAGGCCCTTCCCAGTACGCCTGGATTCTGGATTTGCTCTACTTAGGGATGAACTTGCCAGGGCCATGAGAGTTTTCCTGGGAATTACCCTATATTTTGCGACAAAAATAACAATCAATGAAAAATGTACTACAGGCTTATAGTAATCAGTTGTAATAAGTAATTGATTGAATCAGTAAGCAACAAAAATGTAAATCAAATGTAGAATGTAGAGGTCAAATCTAGGTTTAAAGTATAAATACAATCTAGGTTCGATGTAGTTCAAAGAAGGTTTAAAATAGGTCAAATGTAGTTTTATGTACATTTATAGTAGATTTAAATAAGGTTCAATGTAGATTTAAATAAGGTTTAATGTAGGAAATATAGATGTAACAATAGACTTAAAGTTGGTCCAAATTAAGTTGAATGCTTTATCAAATTAGGTTTAATGTAGGTTTAAAGTAGCTTTAATATAGGCTCAAAGTAGATTCATGATAGTTTAAATTCACAGAAAAAACTTGGATTCATTTTTGTTGCAACTCATTTTCTTTTGGGTATCGAAATGACTATGGGACAAACTTTATGTTATTCAAAATGATACTGGCTGGAATTTCATATTTCTAAGTTGGCATCATAAGCAGAGTAATTTTGTATTTCAATTAATTTTTCTAATATTTCAACAACACCAGAAAGATTATTTTGACCAGTACGAATATTTAGAAGTTTTTAAATAAAAATTATTTATTATTATTTACGTAGATAATAATTAATTTCATAAGTTTTTAAATTTACCGCTATTATTTAAGTTGGTAGTACCGTTCCTATTGTCAAAACACATGTTCTCATTTTTCTAACCTAAAAACATATTTCCTTTATTATTTTATTACGCGATTACAACCAATTTTTAATCAAATATATTAAGTCTAGCGTGTTATTTACTTCTTTGTAATTATTATATTTCATGTATTTGTGCAAAATTATTCTTTATTTCACAATATTTTTCCATTTTTCTTCTTCTCAAAATGAAACTTACCTGTTTCATTTTGATACTTTTACCTTAGAACTCGAAATGAGACAACCAGTTTCATTTTTGATGCGTATCAAATCGAGTATAAATTTTGTACTCAATTTGAGATCAGGTTTTTTCTGTGTTGAATGTATAGACATATCCAAATCTTTGCAAAAGTAAAATAAATTATTAACGCATTAATTGAACGGTAAAACAATTTCACAGTTAAAAGGAAAGTATCAAATTAATCCAAAGTTTTATATCAATTTTGGTATCAATTTGATACTTTTAAATCAACTGTAATTACTTTTAGACATTCCAAATAGTTTACACCTAGTTCTTTATATCCTTTTTCGGTTTTTGTATTTCAGATAAGACTTGAGCTGAAGCAAGGTTCTCCATTAAATATTTGATGTTAATTATTCGAATACAGTATAGTATTTAGGTATTCTATATCAATGCATTAATTCTTGCGACGAAGGAAATTGATAACAGTTTATTATATTATTTTAGAAGTTATAGGTGAAAAAGTAGACATAAAATTTGAAATGTAGTCCCATCATCAGGTGTTGGGAAACCATTAACAGGAATTACGTATAGGTTAATGACTTTAGAAGCCCAGTAGCACATTCTCAGAACTGTAAACGAGATTCACATTAATTAATTGCCGGTTATTAAAACATATCCCGCTTATCATTCTAAACGTCCCCTTAAGGATAGAGAGATGGCGCTAGGAATTAATTTTAGGTATATATATATATATATATATATATATATATATATAAATTTGCAGAAAAAGGATAATGTTATTACTCGTCCTCTCAATAAATCTCAAATTAGCATTCTTCATATTGAAAGATTCACGAACCGGTTCAAATCAAGATTGAAACATTCTTAATTGGCATCATCTCAATATATAGTCTGCTATTAAAGTATAACAACAACAACTTCCTGATCACGAATAATTTTTCAGCAGACAAAACATTGCTCTTCGCTAAAAAGAAAATATTGAAAAAAATTTTGCTAATAACATTTAAAGACGGATCAAGAAAAAATACATTACTTTATTTTTCATTATATAATCAATGTTTCATCAAAGGGATATATAAGTTTATATACTTTAAGAGTTACTTTTTTGCGATAATATTTTTCCTTTTAATCTTCGGAATAGCTTCGAGAGAGTAGTTTTCAAGTATCAGTTGGTAACTCAACTTCTTGTTCTGATCCTTGGACTTTAAACACAGGTATATATATATAGGAACTTGGTAATTGGGGCAAGTTTTTGATGGGGATGGTAATTAAATTGAAGTTTTTAAAAGACTCGTGCCAGCGCGCACGTCTGTTGAAACGAAAGGCGAGGCAATTTTGTACAAAGAAGATAGAGAACCCTACTGATTCTGACAGATACTTTCTGACCATCTCTGATCTATTATACCGAATACTTATTCGTCTTAAAGGATAATTTTACCCTGCCCTTATAGTAACAGCAGCACGAACATCGTGCGTTCACGAGAAGATTCTTTCCAATTAGACAATGTCTTGGCTGTATATATGCACTAAATAAAAAAAAAGAGGATAATGTGAAATTCTTCGCTAAGGGCCTCATTTATCTCCTTTTATTTCAGTCAATTGATAGAGAAAAAACTCAATCTGTATCACGTAACACATATTATGTACACCCCAAGAAAAATGATTCTTTGAATTAAAGAAATTTGTGCATTGTTATAGGATAAAAAAAAATTTCTCTGATTTAACAGGGTTGCCAAGGGTCAGAAAAATCAGTGAAAAGTCAGGGAATTTTATGAAAAGTACTGGAAAAATATCAAATTTCTAAAAATGCTACTAAAATATTATAATTTTTGTAAATTTTCAATTCAAACTTTTGCTTCTTAAAATTCTTCTTCTTCTTCGTGTCTTACAAAGACACGAACAATTCACAAACTTCTTGTGCGATTCCAGGTGAGATTTTGACTTTTTCGGAGTAGGTTAACCGATTGCAATGAAACTTTGGAATTTTGTTATATATAGTAAGACTAATCTTTAACGTAAATTTAAGCTTAAAATATTTGTTAGTTTACGAGATTTGCAATAATAACAAAAAAATTTAAACTGATATATCTTCCGTTCTAATAATCGGATTGAGGTCTACTTTTTTTTAAAATGTCAAGAAAAATAAGAGGAATAAATCTCTTTCAGAACAATTTTTTATAATTTTACAACTAAAAAAATTATTAAATAATAATTGAATAAATTTCACGCGACAATCTAAAATTCAATCACTTAAACGCTAAAATGATCTTACCAGTGTTTTCTTTAATGTTCCAAAGGAATCCAATTGTAAATGCATGTTTAACTTATTCAATTTTAATAATTTACGAGTATAAACAATTGCGATTTCTGCTATAGTTGAGGTGCAGACGACATTGCGCACGCAGCATTCTCCTGTAACCAGCTGACGTGATTCGTGGACTAAATTGGCTACGTGAGAATGCTGCGTGCGCAATGTCGTCTGCACGTCAACTATAGCAGAAATCGCAATTGTATTTATACTCGTAAATTATTAAAATTAAATAAGTTAAACTTGCATTTACAATTGGATTTCTTTGGAACATTAAAGAAAACACTGGTAAGATTATTTTAGCGTTTAAGTGATTGAATTTTAGATTGTCGCGTGAAATTTATTCAATTATTATTTAATAATTTTTTTAGTTGTAAAATTATAAAAAATTGTTCTGAAAGAGATTTATTCCTCTTATTTTTCTTGACATTTTAAAAAAAAGTAGACCTCAATCCGATTATTAGAACGGAAGATATATCAGTTTAAATTTTTTTGTTATTATTGCAAATCTCGTAAACTAACAAATATTTTAAGCTTAAATTTACGTTAAAGATTAGTCTTACTATATATAACAAAATTCCAAAGTTTCATTGCAATCGGTTAACCTACTCCGAAAAAGTCAAAATCTCACCTGGAATTGCACTCTTTATATCTTTTCTTTATTTCAAAACACTTAAAAATTTTTTCTTCTTAAAAGCAAAAAAAAAAACTTTTTAATAATTCAAAACCAGTGGGTAAAAAAAGCATGTTTGTTTTAAAAACATTTTTAGAACGTTTCATGTCTGACAAATAATATTCTAAAACATTTTAAGAACATAGATGTTCAAATAATGTTCTAGAACATTATTTGGCAGACATGAAACGTTCTTAAAACGTTTTCAAAACAAACACGGTTTTTTGCCCACTGGGGACAAATTTCATCTTTGATTCAAAAAGTAAATTTAAAAAAAAAAAAACGATTTCTTTGTTTTAAAGAAATCGTTATTCTATAGGTGTAAATGAAACAAACAAAAATGTTCTCACATATAATTAATGACGCTTTTAGTTGTTCATTAATTTGATTTTACATTATAAAAAAAAGCAAAAAACTTACCTAAATGTCCACCAGATGTTGAAGCACATGGTGTTCAGCCAGAAGAAAGCAGCGAGGAATGAAAAGTGAGCCATGATCGCTGTAACATTGAAATAAAAAATTGTCTCGTTATTTAAGAGCTAACATATTTTTGCTTCATCAGAAACAAGAAATTGTCATATATATATATATATATATGTTGAAATTTTGTTTTTACAGGAAAAAAACAAGAATATATGGCTTTTGAAAAGTGAAAAGGAGGGGAAATACGACACAAGGAGATCATGAATTTCGAAAAGTCAAATATTGTATACGCCTTTAGAAATTCAACATCTATTATAAAGCAGTCTTTCGTATAGTGGTTATAACCACGGGGGAGACATTAATTTCTAAGCATGTAATCTGCCAAGGAACGAAAGAATAAACGAGATTTTTTTTTCACTGTTTGTCTGTCTCTATCTTTTTTTGAAATTCATTCGTCTTCGCGGAAAATCATCTCAATAAACGAGAAAGCACGTACGAGAAAACTATATTTACAATTATTTATACTGCACGACTTGCTTAGAATCATAAATTTACATGGAAACATTAACCTCATTATCCAAATTATATAATACTTATATAGGAAAAAGAGGGAAAAAGTGGATCACTTTTTTTTCAAAAAAACAAATTTTTAACACTTTTTTTGCATTTTTAGAAAATTTTATACAATTTTCAAGAGAATGCATACGTTTTATTAGGATTTTATAATCTGATTTAAAAATCTTTTTCTTCCAAATGTTTACGATTCATATTATTTTACAATTTAAAATTTTAAAATAAATAAAAAAAATTTTAAATTAAAAATACGTAAAATTTATTTTAAAATTTAAAATAATTTAATTTAAAATATATTTTTTATTAGAAAACAATGTAATTAAAAAAAAACATAACATTAATAGTGAAAATGTTTTTATATTGCTTTATTAACGTTTTCTTATTATTAAGCATTTTATATAAGCGCGCTTTTTTCAACCTATAAGAGAGTTGACAAAGCGCAAGCGCAGTAGCGTTTAGGTAGGGTCATTGGTAACTTTGCTCCTGTTTATAAATTTTTTTATATTCAGAGTTATTAAATAATAATTTTTTATTACTGTTCGACAAAATTTTTTTCAAGGATTCAATTTTTTACACGTGCCTCTTTATTGCTTTAAAATTTTTAACATTTGAGTCGCCGGAAAGTAAAACCACACATAAAAATCTGACTCCCATTGAATTAACATGGCCGTCAGAATTTTATGTGTGGTTTTACTTTCCGGCGACTCATTTATTAAATTTTATTAAAAATGTTAGATTTTTGGAATATAAAAAATTGTTATAGTAAAATTGAGGTGTAATATTAATTTATTAAATTACATGTAAGTTTATATTTAAGCATAAATAAGAGATAAATATAAACTTAAATGCAATTTAATAAATTAATATATTACACCCCAAATTTACTATAAAAATGTTTCATAACCAAAAAACAAACTAACATTTTTAATAAAATTTAATAAATGTTAAAAATTTTAAAGCAATAAAGAGGTACTTGTAAAAAATTGAAATCCTTGAAAAAAAAGTTTGTTAAACAATAATAAAAAATTATCATTTAACAATTTTGAATATAAAAAAAAATTAATATTTAGTTTGATAAACGGGACGCATGAAAAAGTTCAATTTTTTTTTAGAATTATGATTTGATAGAATCGTATTTAGTAGAATATTATTTTTGCTGAATATTAAATTGTTAAAATATATTAATTTTAAAGAATTTTCATTAAATCGATTATTATCAAAATGTTGCAGAAATTTTATTTAGACGAAAATTAATTTGTCAGAAATTAAATTTAATCGAATCTTTATTTGTGCGAAACATATATATTGTCTCGTAGAATATTAATTGTTTTTAAGTTATTAATTAATTTAAAATATTAATTATTTTATTTAGATAATTACTTGCAAGTTTTTTCAACGATTAAATTTACAAATACAATTGTAAAGCATGCAATTGATTTTTTAGGTTAAGAATCATGTCAAAATCTTATTGACACTAAATATAAAATATTCAGCGGAACATCCGAAATGTGACACTTTGCAGGGAATGGTAGCTTTTTTCTATACATTACAACTACCACACCCCCTGCTCTAGTGAAAATTTAGTGACTTTATTGTTAATATTAAAAGTTACTATAAAGTTACTAAATTTTTACTAGAGCAGGGTGCGGTAGTTGACAAGAAGCTTGTTTGAGTAAAAGCCTATTAATATGCGAATTTTCAAAGAAGTTTTTTTTTGGTTAAAGAGATTTAAAAACACCGAAGAAAGTGTTGAAAGAGATTTGGTGTGACCTAAATTTCTTTTGAAATCTGTTAATCCAATAAAGTGAAACTTTAAAAGCTGAGAAATTCCACAGCACATTGTAGAATATGTTGATAAAGGTATAAAGAGAGGGGTTCTCTCTCTCTCTGGATACTGGCTAGGCTCCAAAGCATGTCGACCGACAGATATATATGAATGCTTTAAGCCATTATGCAATTCGTTTTACTTTCCGTGCATATGTATATATAAACTAGTTTCCCTTTCTCTTCGCTCTCGTTTTCTTCTCTCGTTGACGAATCTATTTTTCTTTCGTATCTCTTTTATATTATTCTCTACTCAATATATAAGAATTAAATATATATATACTAAATTCAAAAATTTCCATTCATAGTTTTTTTCTTTCTTGATTTATTTTTTTAAGAATTGTCTTGACCTTCAGAGGGTAATTCTGACTTAAATGTACCATATCGGTAAAACCAATGACATAACCTTTTCTCTTACGAGCAATAACTTCTTTACTTATTGCCATCACGTTTCTGACTTATTGAAAATCAAAAAAATCTTACACGATTTTTATCCCGCGAGAGTTCTAAACTGGAATTCTTTTTTATTCTTTTCTCTCCTTTTTTCTCCTTTTTTTAAAATCATAGTTATTTTCCGTTTATCTTCATTTCTTTCTATATCTTCAAGTGACGTTTCATTTTGAATTGAGAAAATTTCTTTTTCTTCTTTTTTTAATTTCAATTTTTTTTCATTCAAAGGCAATAAATAAATTTATTTATAAAGAAAAACAATCTTTCAAAATGTAAATACAAATAAATAAATTAAATAAATACGAGAAAAAAAATATTAATTAAAAAATGTTTGTAGAATAAAATATCTAAAAATTAACACACTCTCTCTCAATAAAGTACATCTGATTTATGATTATATCTTTTGATGTTAAAACAAGCTATATAAACCTACACATTTTTTTTTTTTCATTTACAAGAATAAATTCACGCTATTTTATATATATATATATATATAGATAGCATTTCCAAAACTTGAGTCATCGTTTAATGAAATATTTATTAAAATTTACCAATCTCAGGAAACTATGAGAATTGTATATTATATGCGTATATACTTTTATAGAAGTGCGTTATTCGAAATATGATCAACTGAAATGTTAAGAGTTAGAGAATATATAAACATACATTTGAAAATTTTAATCAAGTTGCTTTTAAAAAATAAAAAAAAAAATTCTTATATATTGCAAGTCATTTACATATAAAGATCCAAGAATGCTAATGAGTTTTGATACAATAATAAAAGAGAGAGAAAGAGAGAGAGAGAGGTTCTTTGGTGAATATTTTAAAATTTTAGTCGTGTAATTTATATTTGACTTACGTTAAATCTACAATTCTCTTTTCCTTTTTCTAAATTTTTCTTTAAGTTTATTTTATTTTTTGAATTTTAATTATTTTTATTATTTTATTTCCTTTCTTTTTATTTATTTTCATTTTATATTTTTCTATTTTATTTTCATTTTATTTTTTTCATTTTTATTTTATTTTTTAACTCAATGATGATAATTTTTGCAGACTCTGACTTAAGATGCATATATGCCTAATGCTTTAAGACTATCGTATCTGTTTATCACCGATTCTCGCATGTGCAATTTACCGTTTACTGTGGCCACAAGTTTTTATCTCGAGACAGAGAGTATGTTGCACGTACAGGTTTTGCAGGTGCAAGCACCTCTATATACCATAAGCAATTCATGACTAATAGCAATATAATAAACGTAAAATCATTCAACCATCAATAAATTATAAAAAAAAGTTACGTAACACTAAAATTGTTTTGATATATTTTAGAGTTTGCAGCTTATAAATTTGGAATTCGACAATTCTGATTCAAGGTTCTACCTAAAAAATTTGTTTTAACAGTAAATTTTTATCAAAAAAAAAAAATACTTAAAACCCATTAGAAAAAAAATATAGGTTATGTTCGAGAGTGTTATATTCTTATATTGGTAGCACTGCAGGACATTCTGATATTCTGGTTTCCATTGTCCCCACTAGCCATTTGTCATAATTCTCGTCAACTATCGCACCCTGCTCTAGTAAAAATTTCGTAACTTTATTGTTAAAATCAAAAGTTACTATAAAGTTACTAAATTTTCACTAGAACAGGGTGCGGTAGTTGATGAGAATTTTGACAAATGGCGAGTGGGGACAATAGAAACCAACCTATTACAAGGTTAGCAGTTGTATATTTATATTAATTTACACACTTCCTAACCTAAAAATTCTGCCATTTAATTTCATGCACTGTAAATCAGCAGTAAAAAGTAAATTCTTTTTATTTTATTAATATCATGCCTCAAAATAAATCAAATCAATTTTTACAATTTTTTTCAAAATATATCAATTTAAATCGTTAAAAGTGACATTTACAATTGTGTTTTTGACATTTTTATAAGAGCACTAAAATACATTCTAAGTACAGTATATATGTCTCGAAATCTTTTCAAAAATAAAAAAAAAAATTCCCTACATTCAGAATTGGGAAATTTCGAAAGATGTATGTATGTGGCTTTACGTGTGTGTGTGTTATTTCAAGTATGCGGATTCTATTTTCGAAATTTTGTATATATATGTTTGTGTGTGCTCTTTGATTTTCGCCTGTCCCATTTTCATATACATATATGTATATATAAAAGTCTAGTCTAGAAATGAGCCCAAAATGTTTTGGCATGAACTTCGTTATATAGT